TGTTCCATTCAGCTGTCTCTTGAATACAGTCTTCCTTACCGTCATAATAATTTTTTTTAAAGATTTTATTTGTTTGACAGAAAGAGAGACAGCGAGAGAGGGAACACAAGCAGGGGGAGTGGGAGAGGGAGAAGCAGGCTTCCTGCCAAGCAGGGAGCCTGATGCGGGGCTTGATCCCAGGACCCTGGGACCATAACCTGAGCCGAAGGCAGATGCTTAATGACTGAGCCACCCAGGCATCCCTACCTTCATAATTATTTTTAACACCAGTATTCAATGGCAGCGGGAAGAGGAGTGTTGGCTATGAGCCCCCACAGTTCAGCCTCCTGGCACCTTCCCTCCCTCCTCCTCCCTCCTCCCTGTCCTGGTACCTTGCAGCACTCAGGATCCACAGAAGTGGGGAAGAATCATGACTAGGACTGCATTTCCCACCAGCCGGGTAGCAGACACCAGAAACAGAATCATTTGGTTCAGAAAATTTAAAAAAACCCCATTATTGTTGCCTCTTCGTATCACAGATAAATGAACATTCCTTCCCAGTCTCCTTTTTTTGTTCATTCTTGTAGTCTAAGAGGTCTCAAGAATTACAAGTTTAAGGAAAATCTGGAGAAAAACCTCAAGTTGATAAAATTCTATCCATTAGCCTAATTCAACCCCCACCCCCAGGATTATGAAAATAACCACCATCTGAAAAAAAATTTAAATTTAATTAAACAAATTTTAATTCCAGTGTGGTTAACATACAGTGTTATGGGGTTTCAGATGTACAATATAGTACAGTTCCGTCTATACTACTCAGTGCTCATCAAGATAAGTGGATACTCTTAATCTCCTTCCCCTACCATTCAAAAAAATTTTTAACAGATAAATAACATCACAGGAATGCAGTTAGAAATAGTCTATGTTATCTCATCATGTAAGACTGAGCACAGGATGCTGACATTTAAAAACCCAACGTCCAGCATAACGTAATGACGTTATTTGTAGACCAGCAAGGATTTAGACGAATGTGATGCAGAGGGAGAAATGAAAAGAAGGGGCAAGCCGTAGAAATTGGACGGAGGATGAATTCAAATGGAAAGCCCCCAGCAAAAATCTGAGACACATGAAGCTTTTGTAGGGTTCCTGTGATCAGCAGGAAGTTGAGATGACTCACTGTGTCCTGTCACCCTCGCTCCGTGTTCCCATTTATCGCCTCCAAGGGTTTTCAAGCCTCGATTTGTGTAGAAAAATTACAGAACTTGTCAGAGAATGTCTGTGGTCTGTTTTTCATATCCGTATTTTTAAAAAACCCACACACACAAAATGGTGTACTTCTCAATATCTAAAGCTGACGTAGTCTCCCAGAGTGACCTCGCCCTACAGGGCTGGGTGTCCTGTGGTGGGTGGGTGGGGCTTCTTTATGCCTCCCTGGGGAAGCCTGAGTGAGGTGGGGGGGACTTGGCCTCCAATTCTTGTCATGTGTCCTATTGAAAGGAGCTGTCCTCAGATGAATATTCAAGAGCATCTTGAGTTTCTTTGGCTTTTCTGTCTACCAACCTTGTTAGGTTGAGAGAGCAAGAGAGCTGTCTCAACGTAATATGGGTAACATCAGCAAGAGAAATTCTTTTTTGTTTTCTTTTTTTGCTTTTCTCCTAATTGCCATTACTGGGGTCATTCCTTTCCTGGATGGGCCTCTAGTTCACTTTCACCATGAACTATTACGACCTAGAAATTAAAGAGAGATATCCTGGCTCATCATCCATTCCCTTTGGATAGGATGACCTACGGTAATCAATAAAGGAAATGTGGAATGTTAACAAAAGTGTGGTCTTGTTCAAGAGTATTGAATTAAGTGATATGTGTTCAAGGCAGAAAGATGAAATCATTTAGAAATGCGTTTTTGAAAGTCTTTGGTCATTATCACTTGCATTTAGAAAACCAGTTTGAAAAAAAAAATCAATCCAAACTGGATTTTTTTTTTCCCCCCTTAAATCTTTATCAATCCTTAGGTGACAGGCTGCTAGGGAGATAAAAGGAACAGAAAAGGAAGGTATAATCTGTTGGCTAAATTTATAGAAGCGGCCACAAAAAAAACCCATTATTCACCTGGCCTGGCACCTAGGTTTATACATTTTCTCTTTCCCGTCCTTTGCAACATTCATCTGTGGGTTAGAAACTTCATGATTACAAGCTCTGGTGAAATCCCACAGGTGAATAAAGACAGAATTTTGTCCGAGTTTAAGGGGCTTTCCTGGGAGATGATGTTTTGTGGCCCAGCACTTCACCCCTTAGTCTATAGATCTGGTTTCTTTTGAAAAACAAACCCTAAGTCTGGAACTTTCCACACTAAGACTCCACCTCAGTTTCAAGAAGGCCTAGAAGATACAGCTGAGTAAGAGCCATACTCAGTATGAATGGTTAGTGCTGTTCTTTCTCACCGGGAAGGCTGGGGACGGCAGGGACAGAATGACCTTTTGAGACCGTGGTGATGTTTCTCCGCGTCTCAGCATTTTCATCAGAGTCACCGCAGCCCAGCGAGGGGGGAGAGAAGCTTCTGTGGGAACAAGGGCGGTGTCATCGTGGGCATCCAGTCATCTCAGAAGTCTTCATGTAACTTCCCGTGGTCATGTCAGAGGGCGTGGGGGGGTACACAGGCATCTTCTCTTTGGATTGTGTGACGGAACAAATCAGCTTTAGAAATTTCCAAGAGTTTGAATTAACATCCCAGAGCCCGGGCCCTGAGTACACTTTTCCCACCGTCTATCACACCTTCTGCTGCGTATGAGGACTCGCGAACCTCTGGAATGAGGCAGAAGTGCCACTGCGCGCCTCAGGGATGAGTGCTCAGAAGATGGGCATGTGATGGTCCCCACAGCGTTCTAGGCTTTGCTTCGCGGAAGCCTGAGCCCTTCTCTCCTCCTTTGGTTTTCTAACTTAAGTGTGGTAAGCAGCAGGTGGCCAAGCGAAGGAAAGGCCTGGGGGTTTCAAAGCAAAGGCAGAAGACCAGGTGGCACAAAGAAAGAGCTTCTCCCACTCAGTTTCCTAGGTGGCGTTAACCGTGAGGCTCCCCGGAGTTTTGCATCAGTGCCTGGTTCAGTCCTAAAATAAGTTGCATCAGACGTGGCAACTTTTGCCTGCTTTGTTTGCTTTCTCTCTTGCGAATGAAGTATTAATAAAGGGCTCCCTGGGGGAGTTTGTGCAACCTATTCCAGGAAACAAATTGAAATGTACAATTCTTGGAATAGTAGAGATGTCATGCCATAGTTACTGGTGGGTATCTACTCTCCTTTCCACAATTTCAGAAGAAAATGAGAAAAACTGTGTGGCTGATATAATTCCCCATTTTTCCTTCATCCATGAGTTCTTTGCTTTATTTTTTTAAATTTATTTTTTATGACTTATCTGAGAGAGAGAGAAAGGGTTGGGGGGACAGAGGGAGAGGGAGAGAGAATCTCAAGCAGACTCTGGGTGGGTGTGGAGCTTGACACGGGGCTCAATCCCACAACCCCGAGATCACGACCTGAGCCAAAACCAAGAGTTGGTCACTCAACCGACTGAGCCACCCAGGCACCCCAACCTCTTTGCTTTAAGACAGCAATGAAGGGGTGCCTGGCTGGCTCAGTCACTGGACCATGTGACTCTTGATCTCAGGGCTGTGAGTTCAAGCCTTGCATAGGGTGTAGAGCTTACATAAAAACAAACAAACCAGCAATGAAAATCATAGGTAGATACTTAGCAGATTAAAATCTTTCCAGGGGACACAAAGAAAGTAAGATGATAGCCACTTGTTTGCCACCAACCAGGGAAAGGGGAGAAACACTCTTATTCTGGTCGCTTCTCTGCTGTCCCTGCCGCTGGCCTGGCCGTGGAGCTGGGATCGAGAGGTAGTTGCCTTCCATGGGTGCCTCAGCTTCAGAACAGAGAGAGGCAGGACCCTCTGTCTGGTCTAGTTTGGGATGGTGGCATTTGTGTAGTTCACCTTTACTGGGTTAAAAGTGTGTGTGAGACAAAAGTGAAACTCGAAAGTTAGGAAACACCTACATGTAACCAGTTTCCTCTTTGCCTTCATAGTTTTCTCCCAAACACGTGAAATCCCTGTAGGACCTCAGTTAAAGAAAACTTCCTCTGGGCAGCAGGCAATCACTCGCAGAAGAGAGAAAAAAATCCAAGATCCACTGTACTGTATTGATTTGTACCTGGTCTTGTTCTAAAATTGTTATTAGATGCATGCATGATTAACTGTGCCACAGACTGCCGTTGCTTACTGCAAGTCTGATTTTACTGCAACTTCATTGATGACCCTGGAGTAGCTGAAGATTAATGAAGATGGATCCAAGTGCTTACTACTAAGCAAAGGACCTCCAAGCAAATGATAGTGGACCGGAGAGTTCTCTTCGTCGCTGCAGGAAATACTCTTCAAATACGATGTCAAATGAGCCAAAGCTGTGCTAAACAGAGTAGGTTACTAGTACTCTCTAAAGGCGCTGGATTTCCTTGCCACATTATGGATTGATGAACATTGAGGAATCCGAGAGGATGGGAAGAAAAGAAGAATGGGGAGCCAGTGATGTGGCCCGTGCGTTGGAGCTGGACTATATCAAGTTAGGATAGGGCCTTGGTATAAGGGCGATTGGCAATTCCTGGGCTTCACTCACTCATCAGGGGCTCTGCTGGGTGGTGCTTTGAGGATGACCTTAGTCCCAGACCACACCAGAATCTTCTAGTCTTGACGGCCAGTTTTCTAGGTGTCTAAAAACATGACTACGAAAAAACAAACATGACTACGATGCATGCCTACAGAGGGGAAGCTTAGGCTGGGTGGTGCTTTTTCCCCTGCATGGTGACTCAATCTTCCTTTCTCCCAACACTCATTTTCTTTACATAATCTATCCAACCCCTCTCAGAAAAATTGCTTTGGGTTTCAGTAGACGAGCATTCTGGAACTTTCTTGTCCTGTCTTCTATTTCTCTTTAATCATTTGTGCCTAAAAGACACTATTTTTTTTTTTTCTTTTAAAGAGTACAGAGCGAAGAAGCAGTAACTGGCCAAGAAGAAATGTCACTGAAACACGAAGATCCCCAGTTTCTTTTTTTCTCGCTACCACTTCTAAGAATCTTCCCACAGAGCTACAGTAACATAAATCGACAGAGAGCAGGTATGTGTCCTTAGCAGTTTCTGTCATTGGACAGCCTCGTGATCATTATATTTCTTTCTCCAGAACACTCGACTCATTTACCAATCTCATTCCTGGTGATGTGTGTGGTGGAAAAAACAGCCAAGTGTTAGTACTATTGGGGTGATAGGCCAGCTCCCCACTGGCAACATTTATTTACAGTAAAGGGGATGACATTGAACTAACATGAGCAAGGTCCACGGAAGGGTCCCAGGAAGGAGACAGTTGACACATGACAAAAGAGACTCGGGGTCCCATTTTTCACAGGGGTCTCCAAATAGCCAGGGATGCTGTTCCAAGGGCATCTCTCTCTCTCTCTCTCTCACACACACACACACACACACACACACACACACACACTGTCACATGCCACCTTTTACTACCTTTACCCTTGCCTTCCCCATGGTAACTTCTGACCATGATTTTTTCCCCCCTGGCACTTGTAGGAAGCAGTTTAGTTTTTGAGAAAACCAGGAAAAGCACCATCACCAGGGCTTCAACTCTCCTCTTGTTTTTTCTCCCTTCTCTCTGTTCTTGCCCACAAGCCACGCATCTCAGGTCAGAATCCAGGCTGGTGGATGCATTTTGCAGGAGTTTCTGTGTATCTGGGGGTACAGTTCTTCTTTCATCATTACTCCCTTTCGCTTTCATCCTTATTCACTTTTTCTTTGGTTTGCTTTCATCTACACAGGGGTGTCTCGGCTGCAAGGTGGACTCTGAAGTGAGAGTTGCGTTTTTTCCCTTCTCTTCTTAGACGTGTGGAAGTCCGGACTAATTAGGTCACTGAGGAAGTGACGGGGAGACTCTCCCATGTCGTTCTTCCTGGAGAGGCATCTTTAGATTGTTTCTGGAGACAGAGGAGGCAGCTCTGTCGTGTTTCAAAAGGGTGGTATTTATACACGCTTAACAAAGATAGTGTTTTGCTGACTGTTTCTCATGTAGGAACAGGTGGTCTTGCTGTGTGGGTACTTCCTCAGATCTTTAATCGTTGTTTACACATGGAAGTGTCTTCATTGCAGACAGAGCGACAGTGCTTGTGAAGATGGGGTGGTGTAAGACAACTGAGAGGTCCCCGGATGAAGGTGTGGTTCGTGTGTCTGGAACTTGGGGGATGAGAGGCAAGAGGAGGTGCAGAAATGGTTTTGAGTCAGACTGGGAAGCGCTTAACGCCATGCAAGGCAGGGTGGGCTTTTTCTTGAGAGCTATAGGGGAACCCCTGAAAGATTTTAAGCAAGGGTCAGATTCTCATTTAGGAAAGATAGTTATGGTGGCTGTGTAAAGCATGGCTGTGAGGGGCACAGGTGGTAGGCAAGGAGTCTAATTAGGAGGCTATTGAAGTAATCCACAGGAGAAATGATGAGGGCATGAACAAATATGTTAGGGGATAATTTGATAGCTATTAAGAAGTAGGATGGGTGGCCCTGATTTCTATCTTGACCCACTAATAGCTGTTCTATGCTTTCTCTTTATGGCTAATGAAATATGAGCCAAATGAAATACCTGGATTGCCTCTTCCCTCTTTCTTTCTTTCTGCCTGGAACTTGGGAACAGCCAGTGTGGAACCATGATGTACTCTTAAGGATGGGAACCTTGTGAAGAGCATGGCAGAGAGGAAAGGCCAGGAGTCTAGGGGCCCAGTGACATGGCTGACCCAGTGCACCAGCCTTGGATGGTTTACCCCTGAACTTCATGCTATATAAGAAAAAAAATAAATAATTTCTTGCTTAAGTAATTGCAATAGCCATCATTTTCATCCAGCAGCCCAGAGCAATTCCTAACTGAGACAAATGATGAACTGGGTAAAGGGGGTGAACAGAAGGATTTGAGGGTGAACTCCAATTTGTTGTTTGAGTGCTGGGGTAGGTGATGGTGCCAGTTGCAAAGATCAGGAATGGAAGGAGAATTTAGGAACCAGTATGCATTTCATTTTGTACATGTTGAGTTTGAGGGACCTCTATGATGGTCAATCCATGTCCAAGAAATAATGGGATGTAGACCTTGGCAGAAAAGCTACCTCTGGAAATCATCACCTTACAGATAACAGTTGAAGTCATGGGAGTGTTTTAGGTCATCTAGGGAGAGCCTAGGAGAAGAGGGCCAAGGACAGAACCCAAGAGCCTAGCACTTGGGATTGATGTGCCCATAAGCAGGATGGGGAAGAAGCATCTAGAAAGTTAGGGTGAGGTCTAGGAGAGAGTGGATTCATGGAAATCAAGAACATTTAGAGGTCAGACTAGTTACTAATGCCATAGTTAAGAAGTACTGAGGAGAAGAGAGGGTTCAGGAGGAAAAATGGTCAGAGGATTCCTTCATTCTACAAAAAGGCTATTCTCAGAATGATCTTTCCATGGAAAGGGATCCACAGGTGCAATTTGTGTCATGACACCACTGCACTTCTCACTCTTTTGGAGTCTTGCAATTCCTTGTTCTTTGTTTCACTTTTAAAAAAGCCATTCCCTCCTCCCCCAATTGTTCTATCTCCCCAGGTGTGTCAAATGAGATATTTTATTTAAGATCAAAGTGTACCCAAAGGCATCAAATATTCATTTTAAGTTCTTTCTTTTTAAAGAGTTTTGGGGGATCCCCTGTAGCACACTGAGGCAAAACATAACTGAGATTGGATATAATGAAATACATCATTAGACCTTCTCTATGAAGGGCTCTGCTATAAGAGGAAAATAAGGTTTTTAAAAGAAGGGTAAACAAGAAAGACATGTCAGAGGGCAAGAACACTTTGGTTTGCCTATGCGCTCGTGGCAGTGACCCATGCTCCACATAGACTCTCTGGCCTTTGCCGGAGGCTGAGTTGAGCTATCGTGGGCTAGATCTGTCTTTTGTCTCTGAAGTCAATTAGTGTGATGTTTAGGATTGTTTTCCTAAACTTTTAATTTATTGTTTTAAACCAAGAAGTGAAGAGTATGTCTTCTGGGGAATGTCCTCAGATTGCCTCAGCCAGGAGCTCTGAGGACCAGCTCTCTCCCTGGTCCAGGTCTCTCAAGGATGCTCAGAGAACCTATTCTAGCTCTGGGCAGCCTCCAGTTAAGAGTGATTAAAATAATTGTTTTCACTTTTAAAGGACAGTTGAGTGGGAAGCTGTAAGGTGAACTCATTGCTTTTAACTCTCTTAGTCAGTGTCCTCCCTAGAGAACAAGTAAGAGTACTCATCTGGACTATTTTAATTAGGAAGAGATCATATTTGATATCCCCAGGAAGACCCCAGATACCACTTCTAGAAGGAGTGCCTTGTCACTTAGGAGTTGGAGCTGTTCCTTGGTCCATTAGCCAGCGCTGGGAGAATCAGCAGCAACATTAGTGTTAAAGATCACTCTGGACATTTACTGTGAACTTCCTGGGTGTAAAGTTTCTCTTCAAGATGCCACACAATGACGCATTAATATGATACCTGCTCTCAAGTTGCTTGAACCCTCAGAGAAGACATTATAGTTTGAACTCATCAACTTTTAGGCTAAATATCTATAAGCATATGCATAGATAGACACATAACCCATACACTCATAGAGATGACATAAAACTTGGCTTATCTGGTGGCTACTTCTTTAGCCAGGTCAGCTATCCAGAAAAAGCTCAGGTCTCCCAGCAGATATATTCAATGTTTAAAAAAAGAGTTATGATTCTACAGTTCATGCATTTTATTTGCACTGTTCCAAATTCATTTCCCCCTATTTCAGATATATTCTAGAAGCTTTTCCAGAACACTGGATTAAAGTTGGGGCGATGGGCTGCTCCAGGCAGTCTATAGACCACCTAAGAGGAGAAATGATTTCCAGGACCTGACATTAAAGCAGTGGTTTTCAAACACATCTGACACACATTATCATCACCTGAGCATCTTTTTTTTTTTTTTTTAGTAATTTTAAATCCAGGCCACCCCCAAGATGGATTTATACAATCTCCAGAGGTGGGACACAGGCCATCGGTAGTTTTGGAAGCTCTCCTGGTGATTCCAACATGAAGACAAGGTTGGGAGTCACTGCACTGAAGGTGAAGGAAGAACAATGGATGTTTAATTGTGGGTGTTCTGGGGCCATTTTGCATAGGGGCAACTACCCGTCACATTCTATAGGCAGTCTATAACTTCCTTGGGGTGCGTGAAGTTGACACTATGTCCTCAACAGGTAGCAAGGATATATTTTCCTTCCCTGGTCATTGGTAGTCCTGGGAGATGTCCCTCTCTTACAAACACAATACATATTAAAGGTCCCTTTTCTGTCTTTCAAGGTTTGTGTACAAGGATCCTCTGGAAATGGAAAAGTTGGAAACTTGTGTGTCTTCAAGATGGGACATATTATGGTCTTCTCTGCTTGGATGATAGCTTTCGAAGGTGTTCCTTCTCAGGTGGTACAGTGTAGCCTCTGAGGGGTTATCTCTACTTTGTGCCAATGGTGAGGGTGGAGAATGGATACCCCTGCTAGTCAGAGGGTCTTCCATATGGATGCCCCTGCTTCTCCTGGACATCTCTTTCCACTTCCCACATGCCTCCTTTTTCCGTCTTCCTTTCTCTGTGTCTAGAACCTCCTATTGCTATACCCTACTCCCTGAGACTTGCAATTCCTCTCTCCAGAAAGAAGGAGGACTCTCTCTTAATTCATCCCTGGGTCCTACAGATTTCTCAGCCTTGGACATGTTGTGTCCACCCCTCCTCTGCTCTTCCAAGCTTCTGCTGTCACAGCAGAGGATAGGATGAGCTCTGCTCACCTGCATGGGGGCAGGAGGGGCCAGAGAAGTGGGGGAAAATGGCTTGGGATTTCTCTCCTGGTTGACATTGTTCAACAAAGGATGCTTCCTGGAAAACTGGCTACGCCATACTGGGAACTTGTAAGAGAACAAACTATGAACTTTTGTGTTCAATATATTATATCTCTATTATGGTAAACTTCCTAAAACTGGTTGGACAAAAGCCTAGAGAGACACACAAATATGTTAGTGGTGGTTGCTTTTTGGATGGTATGACCATGGGTGACTAAAAAAAATTTTTTTTGCAACTTTTCACAAGGAACATATTGTTTTTCTAATTAAAAAAAGAAATGTTCAAGTTGATGAACCCAAGTCAACACAAATGTCTCAGATGTTGTTCATTCCTCTCTGTTTAAGAAGGTGGGGAAGAGAATAATCTGCTTTAGTAAGATCTATCAAAGAAGGCAGTGGGAGCAATTAAGATGTAAATTTTTCATCCCCTAAAGGAGGCCCAGGCTTGTTTCTTGGCCTATGTAATGAATACTTTCTCTGTGTTTACTTTCCTTTGTTTAAAATCTCCATCGTGTAGCACAGTGTTTGGCACATAACAAGTCAGTGCCCAATAAATATTGGTCCATTCAAAGAAGCAAATAAAATATTGATGCTTAGAGGCAGAGCTCTGGTTATCTAGAAAAGTCTGCTTATTCCCCTAAATAATTATGACAAATGACATGATTTCTGTAGAAAAAAAATGTTAACATAGACCAAGTCTGCAGGCAAAGGGTAGTAGGTGTGCATCTCAATTGACGCACAGACTCAGAAAATGAACGGGGTAAGACTCAAGCATGACTTTGAAGAAATTAAGAGAAATGAAGAGAAATTTTATAGGAAGAATGGGATGTTCCAGGCACATGGACTAGCTTGTGCCAAGATCTGATGGCTAGAGAAAGGTGAGCATAGAGAGTTGGCCAAGTTGTTGACCAGAGCAGATGGTGTAGTCATGAAGGATCCTGGCAGGGATCACTATTAGACAGAGTGGGCTACATTGGTGAGAAATCCATAAAGAAGGAAAAGAAGGATATTAGATTTCCTTAAACCCATAAAGAAGGATATTAGATTTCCTTAAACCCATGAAGGAGGATATTAGATTTCCTTTTGATGTTTGTAAATGCAGAGCTTTTGCAAGATTTTGTGGGGAAGGTGTTCCTAAGGCCCCACTCTACTCTCTTGTCCTCCATTCTATGGCAAACAAGGAGAAGCTTCTTCCAGAGAGGAATGCAGGGGGAAGCTGAGCCATTGTCCTCATCCTTCTTTGTCTCACCCAGTTAGCTTTCCAGGTAGCCCTGGAAGATGAATGTCATTAGGACAGATGTGGATGAGAAAACTGTCCCCTCCAAAGAGGCAGTGTGGCCTTGAACATCTAGGAGGAGGAAATATTTGATCCTCCATGATTCATTGAAGAGTTCCTCCCTCCTTATCTCCCAGACCTCCTCACTCTCCCATGAAACTGTCCTTATTGACCTCTTCTCTGTTCCAGATACCCATTGCCTGTTTGCTCCCCTGTACCATCCTGTTTCTCTCGCATGCCTCATTGCTTGTGCAGCTGACCACTCTTACAGGACTCCCAAAGCTTCCCTTACAGCCCTTATACCGATAGCTGCCATGTCTGTCTGTGCCCTGAATTCTCTCCTGAGCTTGGACTTTCATTTCTCGGCACCTGCTGGACACATCCTACTAGGTATCTTTCAGGCAACTCTAACACAGCATGATCCAAAACAAAACTGAATTTCTTCTCCCCCCCAACCTGCTCCTCTTTTGTTCCCAGTATCAGTTCCTGCGTCACCATTCAAACAGAATGCCTGTTTGCCCTGGATTCCCTCCCACTCACCTCCCATGCCTAGTTAATCACACATCTTGCTCATTCTACTGAGGGAATGTCTGCTGAATCTCTTTACTTTTCTTGTTCATCCTTGTGCTAATCTTGACCCTTAACCTCTTTGTTCTGCACCAGTTTGTTAACTCTTAACTGGTCCTTCCACCTTAGGTCTCTCTCTCTCTTTCCACTCTATCTTCCTCATTTGCTGCCAGAGTGATCGTCCTGAAACAAATTGGGTCATGTCGATTTTGCTTAAAAAGCACAAAGTGCTGGAGCGGAGCAAGATGGCGGAGGAGTAGGAGACCTGGATTTCGTCTCCTCTCAGGAATTCAGCTGGATAGGGATCAAACCATTCTGAACACCTACAA